GCACAAGAAGCTGGGAGGGGGCACAGCCAGGACAGCTGACCCAAACTGGCCAAAGGGATGTTCCATACCATGTGCCGTCATGCTCAGTACATAAACTGGGGGGAGTTGGCCGGGGGGCAGTGACCGCTGCTCGGGGACTGGCTGGGCATCGGTCGGCGGGTGGTGAGCAAGTGCATTGTGCATCACTTGCTGTGCATAATTATTATTATTATTATTTTATTTCAATTATTAAACTGTTTTTATCTCAACCTGCGAGTTTTCTCTCTTTTACCCTTCCGATTCTCTCCCCCATCCCGCCGGGGCAGGGGGGAGGAGAGTGAGCGAGCGGCTGTGTGGTGCTCAGTTGCCGGCTGAGGTTAAATCACGACAGTCCTTTTTGGCACCCAACGTGGGGCACGAAGGGTTTGAGATAATGCTGAGGTTAAACCATGACACTGACACAGCCCACTGCGTTATCAAGTGCTGCACAATGCCTAGAATTGATACAAGCCTGCTAATAATTCAAATTTCTGACCCTCGCTCTCCAGAGGCTGAAAAAAATGAGACTCAAGCCAAGGACCCTGAGCAGGACAGTGTCAGGTCAACTAAATGAACAGGAAGAGAATAATTATTTCAGGCTGTAATGACTAAGCCTGATATTCACAGCTGCCTTGCATTGCCCCCATCCATCTCAGTCTACTATATTTAGATCATTTTTCAATGTGCTTGGTCTAGATTAACCTCTTCAGCAAGTGTTTAAGAAACCTGTCCTCGGCGGAATCTCTCTGCAGAGCACCAGCACAGGCAGAAGAGCTCGTGCAGGGAATGGATGTTTCCTGCATTACTGGCGTGCTCACAAGTCTAACGGTACAAGGTGACACAGGACTGGAAGACCATCAGATCAGCAGAGACAACAGCTTGGTGGGGCCACTCAAGACTAACCAAGTGGGCATAAGAGCAAAAAGCCCCCCCGCCACACTCACAGCCTCCCAGTCAGGCAGCGGTGGCCCAGCAGCTCCAGCTGCGACAACGGCAGTGAGCTCCAGCAGATCCTCCAGCAAGCTCTGCTCCTCAAGCCACCGCGCACCAAGTTTCAAAGACCCATCAGCTCATCCTCTCCACTCTTCTGCCGGCAGCTCCTATTTAGCAAAAGTGAATGCAGGTTAAAGGCCAACGTATCCCTGCTCTTGGCAGTTTTGTGAAGCCAGCAAAAATTGTTCCCTGGCATCAGTTATTTCCAAGTACAGCCCAATGACTGAACATATACACAACGCTCAACCTACGGTCGCATTTAGTCAGACAAGTATATCCACCTGCCTCCCTAACACAGTAGCTACCTCAGCTTTGCCTTCCTACTGCTCAGGAGAACTTTTACAGCCCCAGCAGTCCCCATACGATTACACAGCTGGCACTTTGCAAGGCTAAAGATGCTATTTACTGCTTCGAAGAAACAAATGGAACCTATCCTTCCCTTGGTACCATTGGTCCAGGCTGCTCTTCCCGTGGAGCTCACTGTCCCTCCTGCAAGGACAGAGATATCCTTGTTTAGTCGTCAGTCCCATGTGTCACACTCTGACCTTAATAGAATCTGTTGATTCTTAATTATTATTATTCTTTCTAAGTAGAACAGCAGCACTAATGCTCGGTGTACTGTGGCTTTCCCTGTGCAAGGAGAGCTGCTCCCCCTCCACACGCCTCAAGTTCAATGTCGTGGGACACGGAGCGTCCTCCTTGTTCTGCCATGCACAGCCGCTGTACAACAGGGCTCTGGGCCACAACTGGGGCTTTTATCATCTCCCACAATACAAATAATAAAATACTGAAATGCTAAAGCAGAGCCACGGAGCAGAAAGGTAAAACAAGGTTCAGCATAGATCATGAGACTTTTGGTAAAATTAGAAGAGTCAGCAACATTATGCCAACATCCTGCTGCCTTTTAAATCCATATTACATTAATATTACATTTGCATTCCTATTACATTCATATAACATCAAATTACATTTGAAGTGTCCTTCATTTTAGTGTCTATGCCACTGCTCCATAGCCATTAGGTTTGGGAAGGCAATACAGAAAAGAAAAAATACCCTGCTGTGTATTATTATGGCAAAAGAATACACCGCTTTAAGAAGAAATCAAACAAATAAAGGAAAATAAAAAAATATTCTTACTTCTTTAAGTTTTAAAGTCTTATGGTTCAGAAGATACTGCATAATTATAAAATGTCACCTCCCTCTCTACCACAGGAGTATTCATTAGAGCTGCTTCTGAAATATGCCTCCAAGGATTTAATACAAGACGAGACATTAAAGTAATATATACTTGGCATTTATTTTGTTTGTGGCTTTTTAGAAGAATTTGTCTTGTGATTATACACAGTAAATATTGCATGAAAGAATCCATCACGGTGCTGTTCCCGGCAATGCGCACACACGACACAAGGAAAGCCCAGTGTCTGGTCAGAAGGAAAAGCCGTAACAACAAAACCAAGAACAACCCTGCCTAGCTTCTGCTGCAAAGAAGCTGTGTGGCACCATGAGATTTCTTATTTCAGATGAAAAATGGTGCCAGCCTGACCTTTCACCGTATCTCGTTTATCCATTGACGTTACATAGGTCCCCCTTTATTGGCTGCTCTTTTCCTGCAATTTCAATTTATTTCCCTCCTCTGTCTCTTGCACACACATACACGCCTACACAAGCAATTTGGTTTCAACTTGCAACAAGGGGGGGGAAGTCATAAAAATGTCTGTGAAGGCAAAATTAGAAATGTCAAAAGTTGAATATGTATGCAGGTATCTAGACACACTTAATAAAAAAAGACAAAGGACAAACCAGATGCTGTGATTAATGCTAGCTAACTTCGAATAGAAACATGCAGAACAAAATTTATTTTCTAAAGCAGTGCAGGAGTAGGTAGAAAAGACTTTTTTTCAAACTAAACTGGTCATCCAGTAAAAGCAAATAAACAAGTGAGAGTTGGTATAGTACTCAGAAAGGAGATGCTTCGTGACTTACAGTACATTTGTGGAACTGTGGCGCAAATAAGAGAATTTGGACAACTGGAGTGCTCCAGTCTGCCTCCCTATTTAACGTGCTGGGAACTCTCTTGACCTTAATCACAACGATTACAATAATTGGTATTTTTCTAAGAAAGCTGAACTGCTGGAAACTTATTAATAAATGATCATTTCAGCTCTTATTGGAAAAAAAAAAAGGTTTTAATCTCTGTGATTGTACTGTTTCCTAACTGCTCAAAACAAAGACACGCAGAATCAAAAAAGCATTTATTCACAATTTCTAAGTTAATCTCAAAAGTTTCTAGGGCATGAGATATTTGTTTACATGTGACTTTATGACATCGACAAATCAAAACCAGACCAAAGAGTAACTGGATTTTTTTGATAAGAGGTTTGAACCTCCACAAAAAGCATCCTCAGCTTCTCGGTCTTCCAGTGACAGCTAGAAGGTAAAGCCTTTCTCCTCCTCCTTCTCCACACGTCCCCAGCCACCTCCATCTTTTGGTACGTATTGATTCATCCTGGGTCTAGGGGCCTGGACTTGCATGCATCAGACCAAGAACAACAAAGAACTCACGCAAAACCTTTGCAAGACTTTGCTCTCGTGCTTCACCAGCACAAAACGGGGTCCCTGCCAGCTTCGGACGGTCTCCAGCAGCTCACTGGGATTA